CCATGGCCTTCAGTAGAAACTTCCTAGAGAAAAGAGCTGGGGACAAAGACAAGAACAGTGCTGAGTGCTCCTCTGCCACACCAGTGAAACCTGCTGGCCTGTGAGTGAGAGCAAACAAGACATGGTTAGTGCAGAGCTGTCCTTGCCACAGCCAGACCTACCCTGTGCACAGCTCTGTCCCACTCGCTCAGCTAAAAAGAGGTTGAGCTGGTCCTGGGCAATGGCAGGTGCCTTCAGGGCAGAGGTGTAGCCAAAGAAGCTGCCTTAAAGAGAGCAGGGAACGATTCTTGGTGTTAACATCAGCTCTGAGGCCAAACCTTGCTATTCAGAAGCTTCTAAAAACAATTTCTTTCCTGACTCACAGATACTGAAGTATCCCTGAAGGAGAGCCTCAAGCACTGCTGCAGAGCACCACTTCAAGAGGGCTCTGGAAATGAAGATTGAACTCAAACCCAAATATTTCTAGAAGGCTAGACCTAAAAGCTAACTCTACAGACATTGCTCATCTAATGCCGCCTTTTTGTTACATTAAACTTCACATACACACAAGAGAAGGAAACTGTAATTCAGCCTCATAAATTATCTTCCATCTTTTCTCGAATGAAACAGTGGGAAGTAATCACCCTATTTCGCTATCTTGATATATCTTTAAAGGTAGTCATTAAGAGAAATGTACATCCAGCAGGTGAATAGAGATAACTGGTCATAAGTGATGACAGGCAAAAATACACAAGTATCTGATTTGAAAAAGGGCCAAGTTGGAAGCCAGATGCACACTGAACTATCCACTTTACTGGCTGCTTATTCAGCTCATGTCAGGATGATTCAACGCATCTTTACATGCAGCTCCCTATTCATACAGCATCTTCTAGCCACAAAACCAAGCATTTTCCATTTCTTCTGCTAAACAAAGGGTAGAACAGTGGAATGGGAACTTGCCATTCAGCAGCGGAAACTATTTGTAAAGCTGGGAAGCTGGAGACACTAGGAAGAAAAGGCTTTAATGAAATTGGCCAGTGTGCCTGCCAACTGTCAAGACTTTTTATATATTCTTCCAAGGAACTCTGACTGAGGCTTTTTCTGTATTTACTCTTTACATCCCAGTTATTATAATACTTTGAATGATGCAAAAGAACAAAATTCATGAGAAATGCCGTATTAGAAACAGGCAGCCTTTTTTTCCCTCTGCAACTGCTCTGTAGCTGCACTCAATGACCCATTAACTGATTTTTTGGTTCTGTACAAATCCAGCACCACGACATTTGTGATTCATTATCAACCAGGCACAGGCATTCACCACTAGAGCTTCAGCTGATCCAGATCCAAAGGAAATCCCCATATGCTTGGAATTTCTAACATACAAGCGTTATAGTTGTTGCCTGGGAAGACAACAGTTTCCATACACAGCAGAGGATATGTTTATATTTATGTTTTGGGAGGCTTGTAACTCAGCCAGAGGCAGATAAATTTTCCCAAGGCAGCGAAAGTTGTATCATTGTCATCCAGATATGAACATAACACTGTTTCAGGTTACTACTCCAAAGTGTGGAGGCAGTAGAGCTGCGAGACTTTTCCAGATCAACACTTAAGCTTGAAATCCTTTCTATTATTGCCTTTTTTTCACTATGAGATCTCACATTCTGCAGCAAAAAGATGTACTACACAAACCAGCTCTGCTCACCTCACAGTTTTCATTCATTCTTTTCCAGAGCACAGTCTGTCCTCTGCTCTGGAGGAAAGATCTCATGGATTTGACTTTGGTATCTGCTGTGACACAGCTTCCCAAATGAGCCTGGAGCACTAAGAGCAGTGCCCTCACCAGCCAGAGGTTACTAGTAGGCAACATAGCATTTTATAACATACCAGCAGTGAAGTGATAGCTGAATGAGCAGCATGATGCCTGGGAGCATCATGTCCAATGACCAGTCCATTGAGAAAGGCCTTCAGCATTACAGGAATCACACAAATATTCCACAATCACCCTCTCTTTTGGACCAACACACATATTTAGCTTATCTCCCTACCCTTGTAAACAGCACACAGAAAGATGGGGAGCCAAGGCAAGATCATCACATTTTCCACTCTGCTATGGAAAAAGTAGAAGGTGACTATGTAATTAAAGATGGTGTGATAATGCATACACAAGAACTGGCTACAGCAAGGTGGAAATTCTGGTATTTCATACCTTTTAAGAGCTCAGCTTGGCAACCTCAATAACATTCCTTGAATTTTTGAAGTAATATAATTACTTCCAATTAATTAAAATGAGGGAAGAATGAAATATCATTTCACGAGACACTGATATGAATAATATTCAGGGAGCAGAGTGGTGACCACTAATGTACTGATACTTATTATAAAGTTTCTCCTTCTATCCAGGACAGGAAATAATTGTCTGACATTCATTGTCAGAAGATAACCAATAGCAATGAGCTATAACAGTAAGTGCTGCTGTGAGGTCTTGATTACATGGAAGAGGAAAATACAAGCTTTAAAGGGACCAGTGACTCCTTTGCAATTCCCCTACACTGTTTCAAATCTTCATCTCTCCTCTCTCCATCTGAGGCTCTCAGTCACAATCCAAAACTCAAAAAATCCACAGGGATGTGGGGAGACCCGGGTGAACTGCCTGGGCAGCTTGGGAACACTTGCCCCCCCCCCCACTCCATTCCTGGCAGCAAATCCTTAATGAGGCCACCTGTGATTGTACTAAGGCTCACCCTGGAAGTGACCCTTCCCCGGCAACAATCCTCTGATGGAGATCTTGAAGTAAAAAAGCAGATTGCATTCTGCTTTCTGAGCAGAAACACAGAAATCTCTCAAACATTCCCTTCTACAATTCCCACCAGCACTTTAAGAAGGCTCAGGGATGATACCTGGATGATACTTAAGTTCAGCTTTAACAACTGACTCCAGAGAGTTTTACCTCTGCTCCTGAGTATTTCTCTGTGTGTTCAATGAGCTCAGCTAAGCAGACTTCATCACTGACTGGCATGGACTGAAAATGAAGTCTGAAGATCTCCCCACGAGTGGCTGCATCTGGCAAGGGCACGTAGATGATTCTGTCTATTCGTCCTGGTCTCAGCAGGGCCTGCAATGAAAGCAGCACAGGAAATGTTATAGCACATCGAGAAAGTAAAAATCATATAACTCAATTAAAATCAACACCATCACCAAATAACCAACAATTTCAGCAAAAGCAAAGAAGCTGCACAAGAAAAGACAGTAAGGCTACCTAGCTTGTGAAATACCAGTTTATGGAAAAAAGGAATCATAAAGGAACCATAGTCGTTTTCCTAAAATAATACTTTAAGGCTTGTTGCAAGGTGTGCTGGAATGTCAGGACTTGGCAGAAGGACAGGTGGCAATGGACATATCCCAAGTGCAGATCTTCCATCAAGACAACAAGCAGAGAAGAAAAGGTTTTTTGAAGTGAGGCTTACATTCCGGACTCATTTTACTTTATCCCAAATTATTAGAGCTGCACATGCTTACAGAAGAGCAGATTACTCTGACAGGCTTTTATGGAAAATAACATAAAAATAGAAGCTATTATTATTATTTATTATTACTAAATGAAAGCTAAGCCCCCAAATTTTCAGGTCTCTACAGGTGTATTTGCCCTTGCACTTCAGTTGTCCAAGGGTACTCAGATTATATACACCCCAGGGAGGTGGAAGGGTGACAGAGCAGCAGCAACAGACAACATAAGAAGGGACAATGGTGGTGAAGGGCAGAGTGAAAAGTTCAGACTTGATGGGAGGAAAAAAAATACAGGATCAAAAAGTAAACATTATCTATACATAAACCAATTCTATCCAATATACAGGAGAAGCCAAGCTCTTAAATTTATGGAAAGGAAGCTCATTTCCCTATATTTATAAAAAAATATCCAAGATTTTTGAAAACCATCTACAGTAAAAACAGTAAAAACCCTTCCAGCCTTTCTTGACATTAGAAAAAAACCTCAACACAATAATCCTGTGCACAGCAAATATACATAAATAGTATTTAAACTATTTTTTAAAAACTGAACAATGTTTATAAGATTTAGCATGTAACCTAAATTGTTTTTATGTTATGGTTCTCCCTTGGGCAGAGTAGTTTGAGTTCCAGATGACTAGAGATATTGCATGGCTGTCCTGGGCTGTCAGCCAATAAGTCTTTTCCCAGCCTGATCATGTCAGTGAAAGTCATGCTGAAAAAATAGTAGGAAAGAGCTTTCCTTCCTGCACAGCATTGATCAAGTTAACACCCTTCCTAGAGTTTCTTTAAAAAGACTGTTGTGGTGCTTCAGAGTGGAAAAATGTATCCTGAATGTTAAGAGATGTCTTGTTATTTTTAAAACAGAACATGAAAATGCTCAGCAGAAAGTGCACAGCACTCTGGTGTGCTGCATGGAGCTGGATAAGGATACACAGCAAAGCTGTACTGGGAAGACTATAGGTTCATACCCAGCCCAGTACCCTGTCCTTGCAGCAGCTGATGTTGGATCCCTACAAGAGAGAGCAAGAAACAAGCTGTCCACTGATATTTGTTCAGCAGACTGTGCTGCTTTCCACAGCACTCCTGATATATTCTCCAAAGAACTCAGCTCACTGGTGATAACTCGACCAGTGTACAGTTCAGTATCTAAACCATGTGTGTGTCAGGATGTTGCCATTTTTTGCCAAAGCACTTGAAAGGGAAATTTGCATGTTTCAAGACTAGGCTTGGAGGGAGAGGAATTATACTGCAATTGTGTTCTCCATGCTCTTAAGGAAATGCCCATAGCTAATTCTATTACTTAGAAGAAACCAGAAACATTCACATGAGCATGGTGGTGTGCCTCTTTTAAATCAAGGCAGGTTTCATCAGGACACCCAGATAATTGGAACATTCTCTAGAGCCAGCTTAGCTTCCCACTGATGAATGACCAGGGCTGTTGTGCAAGTGGGACAGGAAAATGCTTGGTGCCAATCAGCTGGGAGCTAGCACTCCATTGCCTCACATCAGCTTTGAGTTCTGAGACACAGTCTTCTAACACAACAGAGCACCCATGCTGGCAAAGCACAACTGCAGATGTAAGAGTGAATATACTTTTTTGGGTCAGCGCTAAAAACTGTATTTCCTCCAGTTTGTCCCCCAGTGCCTTGTGTTTTATATATAGTCATAGCTGGAGGCCCAAGTTTTAAACACACTATCATTGCTTTTTTGCTACAATCAGGCCTAGGGACCTTATCCAAGACAGCCAGATGTGCTGGGAGCTGTACAAAAAAAGCACAAGCCAGCTCAGCAGTGCTTGCTGCTTATATTGACACAGACAAAAAGGAGAGAAAATACTCTGTAACCTCAGCTTGAGACAAGAATCAAGTTCCCTTCAGCACCCAGAGACAATATCAGATTGAACTGAGAGCTTTTCTCCACCAGGACTCCCAACACAGTGACCCTGGGAGACCCTGTGCACAGCCTGACTGCTCCTTGTTCTGCTGTCACCACCTTGTCCCTTTTGCAAGCCACCAGTCCCCTCTCCTCCATGCTCCTGGGGAACTAAAAGCAGAAGGAGTGGGTGAGGAAGGATCAGCCCTGCCTTGACCTGTCCTGCACTGCTGAAGGTCAAAGCCCTAGTGAGTAGCTGTAGGTGAGCTGCAGAGCTGCTCTGCTGGTGGTGCTCAGAACACAACCAGAGAGCAACAGCAAGTCAAAGCCATGCTCATTTACAGGACATCATGTACCCTCCCAGGATTTTGGTCTCTGCATAAGTCTCATGGAGATGCTTTTCCTTTCTGGTCAAAATAATTCAGGACTCAGAACTGAGATGCACATAGAGGTCAGCAATAAGGGATATCTTCTGGATGCTTTTGCACACTGGACAACAGTGAAATTTTCCTGGGCTGCTCAGGGAAGGCTGCTGTGCCACATGATGTGGACACCTGCAGCAGTGTCAGCTTCAACACCAAGGCCCAGGTCATGCTTACCAGCATGCTGGCAGCAGCGATGAGTTTGATGGATGCTGTAAGCATCTTTTTTGTCAACACCACTTTTCATACAGACTTTTCCAAGCGGGATGTTGCATGATCCAGGTTTTGCCATAGGAAGAGTCTTGGAGGTGGTTGCTCCAAGTGTGCCATGACTTTCACAGGCCATTCCAGAAGATGGAGCTTCAGTCTTTCAATGTGCACTTGCAAACTGAGAGGAGACCACTAAGGACAGCCAGGTCACCTCTGGACCAGCCTCTCTGCCCATGGATGGGTGCATTGGGATTCGGCGATGACCCACTGGTGAGGCACCTGGTTTGATTCCCACTGTGGAGCTGGAGAAGGAGGGATCCAGGAGGAGCAGGCGGTGGCTTGGCTGAGCAGGAGGAGAGGCAGGTGGGGGAGGGTGAAGAGTTGAAGCAGGCCTGCAGGTTCAGGCAGATACAAGCTGCTGGGAGTACAAAATTAACTGCTCGCGGCTGGGAGATGCAAAACCGATTTGAGGCGAGGAGCACACAGAAGGTGGGAAGTTGATGGGGCCAAAATTAATTGATGTGTGTGCAGAGCTACATAATTCACTGATGTCGAGATGTGAGGGTTGCATAATTTATGTCAGTCAGGAAGGGCACAAAATTAAGTAATTGGGGTTTTGGTAGAAACCAGAATACTTGAAACCCAGAATACTTCACACCATTAAGCAATTCTTTTGCAGGTTTATGTAATTTTTTTGTTATTACCACAACAGTTATGAAAGGGGTCTAAGTACACATGCACTGAAAGGTTACTAGTGGTACACGGATACAATGTTCTTCCAGGAGCACTAAGAAAGTGGGATAATTGCCATGTAATACATAATATCACCAACAGCAACAACACATTTTTATTAAGAAGGAACTGCTCTCCTTTCAAAAACAAATGCTTAATTCTTCAAAATATACAACTGAAAATGATAGCTAGGTCAAAAATGTGTATTTTGTGTGCAATTATGAAGGTAATTATTTCAGGAAAGAAAACTCAAATATGTAAAGCCAGGAAAATATTTGTGGTTCCTTTTAAGAATGGACCAGGATTAACCTTAGGGCTTCGCTAATTTTCCTCCTCCTCTTTTCTTTTCTTCTTCTTCTTTTTTTTTTTTTTATAAAAGCATCTATCACGTTGAGGGCCTGGCAGAGAAGGCAAGGAAAAGACCTCCTTCTTCCTGAAGTTTTTAGTGCCATAGTCCAGTAACCACGATAGGGATGGACTCGATGATCTCTGAGGTCTTTTCCAACCCGATTGATTCTATGGTACTATGATCTTTAGTTAGGTTTTCCAAAGGACACTTAGCTATTTCAAAAACCACACTGTCAAAGAATGCAGAACTACAACGTTGGCAGAAGCATACTCAGTGATGAGCTTTCTGGGGTACAGGAAGCTAAGCAGCTCCCACTGACATACCTCCACAGCCATGCTTAATTCATCATCAGCATTCTTACAGCAACAAGTCATACACAAAACAGGCAAGACTGTAACCTGACATTAGAAAAAAATAAATATAATTTTAAAGAACCCCAAACAGGCATACTGAGGTGAGTAAGAGCAAGCAAGTCAG